AGAGCTACCAGTATATAAAAGAAAATGAGGAAAAGCAAGTTGACAGCTTCTCTATCCAAGGTCTATTTTCACTGGGTGTTATCCTCTGGGGAGACCTCAGAAATGAGCCCTCCCAGGAAAGAGGGGATAGGTGGGGAGAGATACAAGTTGTTTTGTAAACAACTCAAGCCCTTCATAACTATAGCAACAAGTCTTACTCTTTCTGGTAGTTAGATTTGCTTTCAAAGGGCCTTTTCTCTTCCCTGGCCCATGGCAGGGAGTTGGGGCAGGTGGTATAAGTTCCACTTAATGGTGGGTTGCTGAGGCCTGCAGGACTTGTCCATATCCTTAAAGTCACCCAGCAAACTAGAGGTGTAATTAAGACTAGATACAGGTTTCCTAAAAGATGGGTTTTCTTTCCCAGAGGCCAGCCACAAGCAGGGCCTTTGAACAGAAACAAGCTCATTTCCAGACTTGCATCAGCCCTGGGATGAGGAGGAGGCCACAGAAGAGAGACAAGAGGGAGAAGCTTTCTCCAAACCCACTTTTCTAATGGGTTTTCAGGAGTGTGGTCCTTTCCCCCTCGGGGCCTTGTTAGTGGCGGCTACTGGGACTATGGCTTGGGGCACCTGTAATGGTTCTGGAAATGGTGATAAAGAACTATACCTACTAGAAGGACCCCAGGGAGGCTGCCTATCAATATGATGATCTCGGCCAGGCCCCTGAAAATGGAGAGCCCTGGTGAAGGTCATAGATTAACAAACAGAAGATGTGTGAAGTGGAGACATGTGTTCCCCCCACCCCTATACCCACCAGTAACTACTCACCCAACACCCCATTCCCTAAGAGAGAGGGCTCTCTCTTCTCCCAGCAGAGACGCCTGGTGCAGGAAGAAAAGCACTGTAGACAGACCTGCTCCTCTGGTTACTAGTTGTTTGACTGTGTGCAAGCTGTTGCACCCTTCAGGGACTCAGTCTCCTCACCTGTGAAATGAGCATATCTTCTATCACAGGTTATTAGTGAAGATTATTAATGAACTAAGACTCATTAAGCTGCTAGGGGAGATTCAACAGTACACGAACAGGGGGGCTCACTATGTCTGAGCACAAGTGGAGCTCAGAGGGCAGAGGACAACTCAAAAGTAGGAGACAGGAACCAGTGGATAACGCCCCACTGCCTCTTCACCAGGCAACCCTGAGAGGCATTCTATATGCTTTTGCACAATCCAGTCTCTGCTGTCCACAGCAGGGACCTTGGAAATGACCCTCAGTCAGCGGTACTTCTTCCTTCTTTGTGTCACTCTCTTCATAGCCTCAGTCTTGCTCCCTGAGACCACTTCCCCAAATAAATAAACTTGCTCTTGCTGCCTGAGATGACTTCCCGTTTAAATTGCACATGCATCTTGTCTTGGCCTCTGCTTTGGTGGGAGCCCAAGTCTGACAGCTGGCCATAGGATAGCCCTAGGAAGCACATTCTCCAGCTGAAATTCTGGAACTGCTTCGGGTAAGTTGGGCTGGTGATAACCCCTAGCATAATTACTGACACTTGCTTGTGGTAGGTTGTGGTGATGAGGTGCAGGTGAAAGGCAAAACATTAGGTTATGTGTTAGCTCTAGTACACTAATGTTATGAGAACCACTAGTGGCCTGGTGCACGGATTTGTGCACATTGAAAGCGAATTAATTAGAAGATGGCAGGCAGAGTGGTACTGGGCAGGAAGGCCTGGACATGCCCTGGAGCCAACCTCCTGCAGTCCCTCCCCAGCCGGCCACATTTGGGGCAGCCCACAGCTCCAAGGGCATCTGTGGAGTGAGTGGGGTCCCTCTGGCAGGTGTGATTCCTCGGCCTGGCCTGAGGCTCTCTGACATCCCCTGAGGGGTCCCAGAATGCGAGAGGGCACTCTGCAAAGTTGCTGTCGCTCGGCAGCTCTTGCATTGAGTATCTGCTCCCTGGTGGTCAGTACACATCACACCTATCAGCCAGTCGGATGGACGGTCAGTTGGAGAGTTGCTTAGCCCTTTATATATATAGACTAGAGGTCCATTGCATGAATTTGTGCACGGGTGGGGTCCCTCAGCCTAGCCTGCAATTGGGGACAATCAGGTTTGCCTTGCCCAGTCCTATCAGGGCTTATCAAAGCCAGCCAATGGGAGGGACCGCAAAAGGTTTGCCGGCCATAGGAGGTTGGCTGTGGGAGCGCACTGACCACCAGGGGGCAGCTCCTGTGTTGAGCATGTGCCCACTGGTGATCAGTGCTCATCATAGTGACCAATCAACTGCTCGTTTGGTCGCTTAAAAGAATAGTGGAGTATTAAAAATAAAGGGTGGTTTTTGTTAACTTTCTTAGATGTCTTGAAGAAACAGAATGATGGACCCAGGTCAGCCAGCTATCAATCTGATTTCTCCTCAGTGCCTCAGAAAAATTAGGGTTAGGTCTAGGCATAAGAAAATCCCACCTAGAATCCAAAAGAAAATAATTATCTCCTGAAAAGAATTCCCATAGCTGGCTGTGGCACGCTGAATAATGGCCCCCAATGATATCCAGGCCCTCATTCCTAAAATCAGCTTTTGATATGGTGAAAAAGACTGTAGGTTGTTAGGGGTCTTCAGCTAGGGAGACTGTCCTAGGTTACCCAAGAAAGCCCAAAAAGCAAGAGTCCTTATAATAGACAAGTAGAATTATTTTATTACAGAAGAGCAGAAGGCAATATGATGAAGGAAGCAGAGATTGGAGTGATGTGGCCACAAGACAAAGGATGGATTCTCCACTGGAGCCTCCAGGAAGAACTTTCCCTGCTGACACCTTGAAGGTGGCCTTATAGGACTCATTT